CTTAACTCAACCAGTCCAAGCCTAAATCGGGATTTTCCCTCTCCCTTTCGGGTTAGTAACCTGGCCTTCCTCTGATCACTCAGGCCAGACTATTCCATTTTCCCCCCTCTTTCACGTCCTACCTCTAATTAGTAAACTATCATCTCTTCTGTATTTGTCAGGCTTCATTTGGTTATGCTGGAATAAGAAACAATGCCCCCAAATCTCAGTGACAAGACAGTTTTATTTTCTGCTGCTGTTCTAAGTTGGGGTCTTAGCCGAGCACTTCTGCTGGGCTCTACGTGTCTTCTGCATTCCAGGATCCAGGCTCAGAAGCAGTCCCCATGTGGCTTATGGCAGACCTAGGAATCGATTTCAAAGCCTCTGGCAGTCACCCAAACACATCAATTCCCCGCACGTTCTACTGGTCACAGTCAATGACAAGGTCAAGTCCCATGGCAGTGGGTTGGGAACGTGTGTTCACATGTCTGGAATGAATACTACCACCTAACACAACACCTTTTTTAGATCTGAATTGCATCCCTTACTTCAGTTCCCTTTCCCCCTGCCTGAAACCTCACTTTGCTTAGAATGCGCCTGCTCTGGGAAGCCTTTCGTGACCCCCTGAGATAAAGTCATATCCGCGGCTGTCTGTTGTCATGGTACCTGCACTTTTTTGTGGCACACTTGTGGTGAATTGTTTACGCAATATTCAACGTCTGACTTTCTCTCTAGACTGTAAGCTCCATGAGGACAGAGCCAGCATGTTTTGCTCACCCTTTAAAAAAAGAAAAAAGTATTTTTTGGTGAGCACATGTGGGGGAGGGGTAGAGAGAGGGGGACAGAGGATCTGAAGCGCGGGTTCTGCGCTGAGAGGCTGACAGTGGGCTCGAGCTCACAAACTGAGATCATGACCCGAGCCGAAGTTGGCCGCTCAACCGACTGAGCCACCCAGGCGCCCCTGTTTTGCTCACCATTTTATCCTTGGCACCTAGAAAAGTGTCTTGGCACATAATAAGCCTTCAATAATTACATGTAAATGAATGAATGCATGCTTTAACCATGCTGTCATCCCTCTCCTGGATTATGCAAAGACCTCACCGATCCTTTCTGTGTACTCCTCCTACCATCTACCAAGCTCAGCCTCCCTTTCTGCCACTTTTCTAGCTGAAACATAGTATTTGAAGTTTCCTGAATTAGACCTCCATCCTCGGGCACACGCTGGGCCTTCTGAAGGATTGCTTCTCCCCAGGGCTGCTCCTGGTATAATCCTACTCATCTTGCGCACCTCATTTCCAAGGCCTCCTCCTCTGCTGGGCCTACCTCGCCACTCCGTGAAGACTCAGGCCCCCACCCCTTGCTTCCACATTCTATGTGTGCCTCTCCTTATTTGCAAGTATCATGTTGTATTCTAATGGTCTGCGGGCCTCTCCTAGACTAATCTCTATGAGGCCGAGAACAATATCTTATTTGTCTTCAGGTTACCCAGCACTTAACATGGGGCCTTGCACAAAGCAGGGGCTCAAAATTACAGCCTTGCAAGCTAGTTATCCAACAGAGTAACGCCTTCTCTATCGAGAAGCAGCAGTCCGAACACACGTTAACCAATTCCACGCCCTTGGGACATAGGGAAAGCCTCAGACGTGCAATCACAGCTGACTGACTCCTACTATGTGCCCAGTCCTAAGAAACCATTTGTGGTTTTCCAGTGTAGATTAGAGAAAGGAGAGAGGCCCAGGGCCAACAGCAGGAAGTGACCTCTGATGGCCTGTCAGCAAACTACTAGACCACCCGACAGAGCAAATAGGGCCATGTTCCTGTAGTGGCTGCAGTCGTGTTGTCCTGGTGAGGCCCGCTTCCTGCAGCCTTCTCCCACAATTCTGAGCCTGGAGACTTTGCCTTAGATCTAAGGAAAAAAAAAAAAAATCCTCGCTCGCTTTTCTTGTCTCCCTCTTAACTAAGAGGGGTACCAGACTCCGAGTCCCCGGTTTCCTGGTGATGAGTGTGGGGAAAGGTTGGCTGCCTCTCTCAGGCGCCTGTCTTCTTCCTCTTTTTCCTGGTGGCAGTAACAGTCTTGGCTTGGGATTTGATTTTTCAGGGAAGCAAAGCATACAGTCCATTCTGAATTTCTGCCCAGCCACACATGGGCTAAGATAGTGGTTCTCAAATTTGAGCATGGGCTGGACTCACCTGGAGAATTGTTAAGCCACAGATTGTTGGACTCTTCTCCCAGAGTTTCTGCTTCAGTAGGTCTGGGGTCTGGACCTAGAAATTCGCATTTCTGTTTTCTTTTGATAAATGTTCATTCATTTTTGAGAGAGAGTGTGTACGATCCAGGGAGGGGCAGAGAGAGACGGGGGACAGAGGATCCAAAGTGGACTCTGCGCTGACAGCAGCGAGCCTGATGCGGGGTTCAAACTCACAAGCCCCGAGATCAGGACCCAACTGAAGTTGGACACTTGACCGGCTGAACCACCCAGGTGCCCAGAAATTTGCATGTCTAACAAGTTCCTAGTTGATGCTGATACTGTTGGTCTGGGGACGACACTTGGAGAGTCAACTGGCCTGAATGATGACCTCAAGCAAGACCATGATGAAAAGCTCTGACCAGACAGGAAAACACAGAAAATTTCATTCTGGATCATGCACTTTGTGCTTCACTGGGACAGGTGCCTGTAATTTTTTCCAAGGAAGACTTTGTGACTTGATAATTTCCACTTGTAGAACCAGTTGAGCTTGATATTATTATCAGATATTTACTTATACCATATAAACACAGTCATAAACTCTGTAAAAATAGAAGATGCTGGCATCCTGACTTCCCTGCAGGGGTGGTTCCCTCAAACGTGTTCTTTATGGATATGTATCACCGACTCATATTTAGACTAAATATGACTCATATTTAGACTAAAAGTAACACAAGCAAACTCTTCATGAGGGTTCATCCCCAACCCCTCTCCCCAAGCTGTTTACACCTGATTTCAGAATCTTGTATTCAACTACTAAAGGTAGTTGCCAAGGCATATTGATATAAATCAATTTCAAAAACTAATGACCCCATGATGGGTCCTAATGTTAAATTACTAAAGTTATATTCATTGAAAAAAGGCAACAATGGGGAGTGTTGATGAAAACGTCAGAAAAATTGTAACGCAGTACCATGAAGACCTACAGCAGTGGCTTTGGAGAAATGTCACTTGTGTCCCTTATGTTCTCACCAATGGCCTTCTGTTTAGCACTCTCTCTCTGTGCAGTTGTAATTAGAACCCAAGCGGTTGCTTTCGATCTTGAACTAGGATTGTCATCGACAATAAAATTTCCTGAGGTGGGTGAGGAAAACTCCTCATCATTTCCTTATCAGGACTTGAATGATTTACATCCGGTGGATTCTAAATTTCATTGGTGCTAAAAGTCACATTGTTTTGCATTGTAACATCCTGAAATCTAGATACATCTTTCAGTGGATGGCATTTTATAATCACTGTTGGCCAAGTGGGGGGTCAAGATGTGTTGTCACTGCCTGAACATGCACAAACTCAGTGGTTGATCCTGGTGGGACGACCTGGCAACTGTAATCTCCATATTTCTGTCAACAAATCACCTAAGGACCATCTGAAGGACAAATATGATGCCTATTGTCTGAAAGCTTTCCTTTGCAACCTTCAGGTAAGATAAAAAACGTGCTGGTATCCAAATGTATACGCCAGGTTTGGAAGGATTCAGTGGCGGAGTGCAGTTAAGAAATGCTGCATCACCACTGCTTGGTAATTAACAACACGAGGACACCAATGACAAAGTTGCAAAATGACTAAGCAAAAGAATAGAGATTCTGAGTGTGAAGAAATTACAGGAACTCCGTAAGTTTATTTTGCTTATGTTTTCCTTTTTACACACAAAAGTGATGAAGGATAATAATATAGGTCTAATTCTAAAAGCTCTCATTAAGTATTTAGAAATTCTAAAAGATAAAAGCATTACAAAGAGTTTAATTGGATACATCCCTTTTTTTTTTTTTTTGGCTAACACCAGCTCTCAACTGTTTTGATTTGAGGACTCCTTTCGTACTTGATGTTGAGGATCCTAAAATTCTAAAAAATCCTAATGTGATAATATCTACCAATGTGTATCATATTCAAAATTTAAAGAGACTTTTAATACTGAAGAACCCACGTTTCCATTAGCTGTCAGAGAGATAATGACACCACACGTCACTTGCCCTCTGAAAAGCTCCTACGTGTGCTGGTGAGAGGGGAGCCAAAAGGGCAGATGACGTCATAGTGTTCACAGGGAGTTTTGACCTTGTGGATCCCCTGAAAGGGGAACACACTTTGAGAATCACTGGCATATAAAAATAATGGTGTGTTTTATACCAGTACGGTTAATACAGATACATTTACACCTTAAATAGGGGAAGGATTTCCACGTGGAAAACTATTGACAATCGGTATAGCACCGTGAGGCATGGAGAAATTAACTGATGTAGTTTTCTTCTGTGGCTGTGAGAAATATTTCCCCCTTTCTACTTAAGTGGCCAGCTCACACTGGGTATCCCGAAGGCTCGAGTAATTCTGACCTTAGGAGAAGGTACCAGCGTGCGTGGGTTCCAGGGCAGTGGAATGGGCTGTCTAGGAGGAAGACAGAAGCTAGGACAGAAATAGGAGTAGGAGAAGTGTGGTTTGGTTCCCAGGGGAAGAAAGATGGGTTTTCTGGAGACAGACAGAGGAGCTGAGCTTGCAGTTTCTGGAGACGCGGGGAGGCCTGCGAACGGCTGTGTGGGTATTTTGCTGCAGATGGACGTTGCACAACCAGTCAGGGTTCCACTGCACAGTCAGGCCTAGAGAGGGCAGTCCCTGGGGAGCTGCTGGCCTTTGGGGTGCCATGAAGGTTTAAGCAAGCAGATGCTTGCGACAGGCACCATGGATTGCTGACCAGAAGATTCTTCTGTCACTGCCAGCGTCCTGACCTGGAATCCCAGAACCACTCAAGGACCAGAGCCAACACACGCACACAGTTGGCTTTTGTCGGGACCAGACTGGGTGTTAGAAACTATGGCAGCAAAGTAGTTACCAGCAGGTCTGAGGTCATCCTGCCTGAATGTGATTTCTAGCTCTGCCTTACTAGCTGTAATGGCATTGTCAATAGAACCGGCTTCACAGGATTCTCCCTGGGAACACTAAAGAAGGATGCATGGAAGCTCCTCAAACTGTGTGGCATGTAACAAGTATATATCTATACCATCATCTCTTGCACCTCGGACGTCCTGGAGATGTCATACCTGCCACAGTGCATCCTCCGAGTGTTGGTATGACTAAAGTTTCGCCCTATGTTTCGTTGAAGACCAGATGAACACCCTAAGGCTGGAGTCCAGGGGACCAAGAGCATTTTGGAAATTGCACAGGTGCTCTACTGCACAGGGGGCGGCAGAGGCTGCAGGGGAAGGTCATGGAGTCGGCCACTCCAGCCCGCAGTCTTCCTGCCCCAGCTTATGGCATGGAGTCCTGCCAAGCAAACCCTCAACTAGCTTCAGGGGGGACCGAGGGTTTTTCTTTCTTCGGTGTTAGCACGGGCTTCCCACGCAGGGCGCAGCCAGAGCGCTGCAAACTCCTCGAGAGTATGCGGGAGCCTGGCTACTCCCGGGGTAGGAGGGGTGGCGCCGGTGAGTCCGAGCCAGGAAGGTAGGCGTGGGCAAGTATGAGCCTGACCTCCGAGGCTTTGGGCACCTGCCATTTGCGAGGAAGGGGGGGGGGGGGTATCTGAATTTGCCTGGAGCGAGGTTCCCGCTTCCGGATTACCTCTCCTCCGACACTCATCCCGCCTCCCAGGCTGGGCGTGGTCTGCTCCTATCCTTGCCTCCCCTCCCCAGGGGGCGGAGCTGGGGGAGGGGTCTCTGCGATCGAGTCACGTCCAACAGGCGGAGCCGAGCACCAGGAGGCCGGCTGGGGAGGCGCCACATCCGGCCGCTGACTCGTGTGTGTATAAAGCCGCGACCGCTGCACTTGGCTTCCAACAGTAGCTCTGGGCCCTTCTCGGCTGCAGGGGCAGCTGCTCCAATGCCCCACAGCGGCCATGAGCGTCCCGCATTGGTGGGACCAGCTGCGGGCTGGCAGCTCGGAGGTGGACTGGTGCGAAGACAACTACACCATCGTGCCTGCCATCGCCGAATTCTACAACACGGTGCGTGCAGGAGTGGGAGCTGGGCTGGCAGGCAGGCTGGAGGGAGGGGAACGTCCCTAGTCGTGGCCGCGCCAGGAACCTGGACGTGGGTCTCCACGTTTATCTGGGGCATTCTGCCTCCAGAGCCAGAATCGACCCGCGCCCCCTCCTCTGCGCTCCTTCCAGCTCTCCATCTGTCTTCTTCGGTCCCTATCCTGACATCTGGGCTCATCCTCCCCCTGCCATTTCCTTCAGATGGTTCTATTGTCTTGTTTGATCCTCACCAGTCCTGAAGCCAGTGGTCCCTGTCAGCCCCTCTCCCAGGAGGATGACTTGGGCTGGTGAACCTGCCGGGACAATTCCCTTCCCCGCCCCCTCCTCCCCCCCAGGATTTCTGTGGCGTGACGCACTTGGGTCGCATTGTGCGGTTTTCCCCTGCATACCTGTTCTAGCAGTCCGGGGAAAGGGGGAGTCCCCTAGCAGGTCACAGGGGCAGGGCCCACTGCTACCGTGCTGACTGGTTCCACCCCACGGGTCGAGCTACTTTGGGCCAGAATCAAGTTAATGACTACTAGTTCTTATTTCTTTGTCTTTAGTTCCCAGTCTCAGTCGAGCTCCAAAGACAACTTCCCCAGGCCTGTGCCCTCTCCAGTGATTAAGCCTGGGGAATGAGAGGGAAGTTTGGGAGTGATGGTGTGTGGGCAAGCTGAAACTACCCCTGCCCCACTCCCCGCAGTATCCCGGGTGTTGGAAGTCTTTATGCGAGGCAGAGCTTGAAGCTAGAAGGAAATGTCTCTTCTCTTCACTGTGCAGCGTGGCTCAGGATTCCCAGACCAAATAGAAGATGCTGCATGGTCCTTTCTGCTGCTGCCTCCCCCCTCCCCCCCCAAACCCCCACCCCAGGAACTCCTGGTTTATGAGTCACTGTGAATTTGAGATTGTTCTCTAGGATCGCTCCCTAGATTTGCAGGGAGAGCATCCTTGGCAGTAGCCTGGAGCGATCTCTGATGGGCTAGTCCCAGCCCTTTCACTCATTGATGAGGAAAGAGAGCTCTGGAGAAGGGAGCAGTCATGCTCAGGTTTCTGGCACCATCCAGAAGTCTGTACGGAGTCTCCCCTCCATCCCTTCCTCATCAACACTCCTGCTTCTTATTTATGACCAGGTTAGTTCTTCAAGAAAGCGTGGCCCTCTGCTGTCCGTAGATACCGTGAAAGACAGTTAGTGGAGGTGGCTCCAGCTCACCTGTTGTACACCTCCTTTCAGAGCATACTCTCGGGTGTAGACAGGCACACAGGATGGGCTGGGGTGTGGCTGGGCGCTTTCATAGTGGTAACTCATTTTCTCCATTTGTAAGTGGAGAATGCTACTAAGGATTTCACCAGAGACTTAAGGAACAAATGGCAGTTTGGGGACCAGTTCTCACATACCCAGCAAGGTAATTCTCTGTAGAGTCTGAGGCCAGTTGCGATTCAGGCCTCGATACTTGGCCACAAATTGGTCTATAGCTGCTGTGCACTTGCCTTGAAATGCCCCAGAGCACTAGATGAGGGGAGGGTTTATGTTGTTTTTACTTTTAATCTAGTCCCAATGGAGCTGGGCAGTGAGTGCCAAAGTCTTACATTTTTTTTCTAAATGTTTATTTTTGAGAGAGAGAGAGAGAGCGCGCGCACACGCGCAGGGGAGGGGCAGACAGAGAGGGAGACACAGAATCCGAAGCAGGCACCAGGCTCTGAGCTGTCAGCACAGAGCCCAACGCGGGGCTCGAACTCCTGAACTGTGAGATCATGACCTGAGTCGAAGTTGGATGCTCAGCCCATTGAACCACCCAGGTGCCCCCAAAGTCTTATTTTTTTTTTTTTAATTTTTTTTTCAACGTTTATTTATTTTTGGGACAGAGAGAGACAGAGCATGAACAGGGGAGGGGCAGAGAGAGGGAGACATAGAATCGGAAACAGGCTCCAGGCTCTGAGCCATCAGCCCAGAGCCTGACGCGGGGCTCGAACTCACAGACCGCGAGATCGTGACCTGGCTGAAGCCGGACGCTTAACCGACTGCGCCACCCAGGCGCCCCCCCAAAGTCTTATTTAGAAATGAACTGTCGGGGCGCCTGGGTGGCTCTTGGATCTTCAACTGCGGTGTCCATGGGTGATTAGCCTGGATGGTCCACCTAACAGACTTTATTTTCTGGATACTCATAAACCACATTTGTGTTAGACCAGCAGAGAGCTTTACATCTCAGAGAAGTAGTTGGTCACCTGACTTTGTTGAGTGTAGGTCCAAAGAGTTTACCAAAAACAATTTCCTTCTTTCTGTTTCCAAGCCCTAGTTATCTCCTGAAGGTTATCACAGGACAAACCGGGCTTATCTCTCTTATATTGAGGAAGACCGTGAACTATTACTTGGTGATAAAACAGTTTCTTAAATCCTCATACTAAGGCGGCAGGTCTAACTATCCATTTTAGAAGAAAATAAGCATTCCTCATTTTAAGGAGAAGTTTAAGGAATTGAATATATAAAGTCCAAAGAAGACTGGGAGATGGATCCAGAACCTTCTTAATGGGTCTTGGGGGCAGCACATCATTACTACAACTTTAATTACTGCCTGCTACATTAATTGTTTGCTAGGTGTTGAAACTCTGCTGTGTACTGTACAATCACCCTAAGCAGTCGGTGCTCATTATTAGATCCATTTGATGAAAGGAAGAAACCAGGGCTAGATAGATTTTGCAACTTGACAAGGTCAAGAAAATGGCAGCATTAGCGTGAAAACTTGGTCCATTTGACCCTACAAGGATACTTCTCCTGAAGATCCAAATGCCACTGCAGCTACCTTGGATTTATTTGGCACAGTACAGGTATATCATTCATTGATTCTTTAACTTGAAACTCCTGCCTTGGGACCTTTTGACCTACAGGATAAAACTCATGATGCTTGATAGGAGAGAGTGTGTTGAAAGTAGTTTTTTGCTATAATTGTCCTTCATTATAAAATGTTAACCTTAAAAAATAAAAGTTACTTTACCACGCGCAAAAATGGGTTTATTTCATAATAACAGAGAATTGCAATTCAGGATAAGCAAGCTATAGTAAAACCGTAGGCAAGTCCAACAAAGGAGAGGAATGTTATCTTATGGAGAAGGAGGAAGTTGGGAGGGGTTGTTTTGAACTAGAGAAAAGCAAGAGTTGAGGGTGATCGCTTCTCATTGGCTGAGTTGCAGGGATCATGGATTTCTTGTGGGAAATGCAATGTACATCTTTCCCCGTGGGGGCCTGTAACTGACCATCCATTTCTGTTAAAGGGTCTTCTGTTAAGGGTCTGTAGTTGACATCAAGTGGCAGGGGCTTCCCCTCCCAGCCTCCCCTTCTAGCATCCCTTCAGTGAGTTTTCCATTTATTAATTTTCACAAAAAGTGATCATGGTAAAAAAAAAAAAAGCTCAGAGTATGCAAGTTATAGTGAAAAACAGGCTTTCTTCCATATCTTTTCAGACCTTTTCTAAGTCGCTGTACAGAACACATGTATTTGTGTGAGTATATGAACTATGTATGTATAATGTATACATACAATATCTAAGTTTTTATTTAACCCAGTTGAGATCATACTACACAGACTCCTCTTGGTGTCTTCACTTAATAGGGTCTTGGAGTTGGTCCTATATTGGCTCATATAGACTTCTTTTTTTTCTTTACAATGTCTCATCAGTATTCCACTTACTGGATTGACCATAGTTTATTTACCCAGTCTCTTTTTGATGGACAGTTTGGAAGGTCCTGTTTTATTGCCTTCCTCTTCGTTTTTGAGCAGTGATGCAATGAATGTCCTCATAGATGCATCTGGATGTGCTTTTCCCAAGTACTAATCCTCTGTGGGGAATTGCTGCATCAAGGAGAATGTTTACTTAAAGGCTGATCATTATTGCTAAATGGCCCCCCAGAGACAGTACCCTGGTTTATACTCCCAACTGACAATGTTTGGGTGTACAAAGCATTTTGCCTTCAGGCTCTGCAAATCTCTGTTGCCTCAAGTCTTGTCATCATCCTGGGCTTCAGCCAAGCCCAAATATCCCTTCCAAGAACATGTCACACTCTTTCACAACCTTTTGTTGCTTGTGCATATTTTGTACTGTTTCTTCCACACACAAGTTTTATTGACTTGAGCTCCTTTTTATGCTGTAAGTTTTCAGGCTCTAGTCACATTGAAGAGAAAGACTCTAGGACTTGCCGGGTCAGAGAAAAGTAGTGTCTGCTCTTTAACCACTGGGCTTTGCTTTTGGGGACTCAATTGCTGGGCAGTGTCTCAGGGGGTCAGACGGAAATCAACTAGTGCTGAAAAGAGTCTTGAAGCAAAATATATGCCTAAGATCAGCTCATGATTGGTCACCTTTCCAAATTAGGTCTGCCAACAATGAAGATAAGGAAAGCAGTTCTCCTGATAGGCCAAAGCCCATGTCTCCTGTACCGTAGGGCAGAATTACCTAGATCCTGTATCTTTTTATTACTATTTACTTACTTTTTTATTATTAACACTTTTTTTTAATTTTTTTTTTTTTTTTTTTTTTTTGAGAGAGAGAAAGAGACAGACACAAGAAGGGGAGGGGCAGAGAGAAAGAGAAGGAAACACAGAATCAGAAGCACACCCCAGGCTCTGAGCTGTCAGCACAGAACCCCTCACGGGGCTCAAACTCACGAACCGTGAAATCATGACCTGAGCTGAAGTCAGACGCTTAACCAAGTGAGACACCCAGGCACCCCTGGCCTGTATCTTTTCATCTATAGATCTATTTACTGGGCAACTACTGTGTTCGTGTCACAGAGACCAGACCTGCAGACGGTCATCGGGTGGTGAAGGCCCTACCAGAGATGTGTCCAAGCTGGCAAGGGTACTATTCATATTCTGCACGGGCTTGGTATACTGTGGGGGAATCTTGCAAGAAGCCTTCTGAGTAGGGTGACCAACTTGTCCTGGTTTGTCTAGGCCTCGCCGATTTTAAAACTGAAAGCCCCATGCCCCGGGAACCCTC